TGCCCTGTCATAAAAGGTGCTGGAATTCTGCACCGCTGGGACTTTCTGATGGTTTCTATTACTGCTGGCCTAAACTACTAAGGAAGTGACTCTTAATAGTATAATCCGTGCAGGGGCATCAACACTGATAAAGATGGGGCATGAATCTTAGAACAGCAGTAAACAGAATTTTACTCTTCCATATGAGGCTTGGCTTACAAGTCACATAATAGGGTAATATATGGGTCTTGAGAAGGAATTGAAGAGAGGCCAGACAATAAGTTAGTGCAGGGTAAAAAGGAAGGTATCCCAGATGGCAGTGGTAATACTGGGGGAAGGTTTTCACCCATTCATCCACCATGGAGAAAACCTTGTTGGTGCTTAAGGAGAAACGATCACTGTTGCAAGTATAATTGTGGAGGAGAAGGCACACTTTTAGGGAGAAACATCAGTAGAGACTTTTGTATGCAAGACTTGAAATGCAGACCACAGATGGCAATCACATCATACCATGGTACCTTCTCTTCTCCAGTACAGAATGCAAAATGATCAGCCTCTGACTGGCAATGCCCTGAACTCCATGAGGCCTATTCACTACCAGGAAACAGTCTGCAGCTAAACTTCCTGTGTTTGATATCAATTACTGCATCAATGAAAGCATTATTTGGCTGCTTTGAAGGCAATGAAAATGGCTCAATATTCAGACACAGAAGCTTTCCTCTCATGTTGCTGTTGTCACAGCATGTGAAGGAATAACCAGTGTAAGTGCAGAAACCTCAAACTATGGTGGACTAGACTGGATGCAAAAACCACACTGGCAGCTAAGCTGGCATCTGAAGGTCAAATGTGATTTGTATCATTGCAGGAACCTTAATGGAACTTTGCAGGAATAAGTGCTTATTTACAAGCCTTCCCTTTAAACTTTCAGGCATGGAATTACACATGTTTGTAGCACTGATGACAGAAGATGATTGTACATTTTCCTTGTAGTACGCACTCCGAGAGCATTAGCCTTAAACAGTTCAAAGTTATATTCTGCTTGAGCTTTGGCCTAATCATAAATGCAAAATAAAAGAAGTTGGAGCAAAACTAAGATTGACATTTTAGCTATTGTTTGGCTCTTGCATTTTAAAGACAGCATGTACACACTGTCTGGCAGCTTTGCTTTTCAGAACAAGCAGTACTGCAAGGCAATTTCAATTCATCATTTATTCCTGGACACAACCAGTTTTCCTTGAACCACTTCTCCAAAACCTGACCAAAACAGGTATCTACTACCTTGTCCTTTTTAATTAGGCTGACAGTAAAACCAGAAGGACGTACACATCTCCCCTGAAATGATTCCTGACTCTAGTCTAAAAGAACAACATTGACTGACAGCGCAACTCAGAAACAAATTAGACCAGTCCAGATGAGTGTGTATCTGCCTCTTGCAGCATCTCAAAGTAGTTTGAGATGCTGCAAAAGGCATGCTGGGAACAAAAAAATGTTCCCTGTGCTGTATATTTGCACAGTGTGCTCTAAATTTGATACCTAGAAATCCAGGTGTAAAAAAAAAAAAAACCCATGGAAAAAAAATGGGGCAAGACACACTTCTGTAGCATGCTCTTAAGCAACCAGAGGCTGGGGTCTTCCAAAGAGACACTCTGGTAGCTGGCCAGAGCATCTCTACAGCTGCCCCTTGCCCTGGTGCTTCAGCACGCTGCCTCCCCGTGCAGGGCAAAGTGGACCTGTGCAGCCTGAAGTGTGACCTGGACCATGTCCCAGATAAGTAGGGACTGGGGGTAGAGGGGACAGGAGTGGGGGGCTGTGAGGGTGCAGGGGATGGGGGGAGCTGCTTGGAAGTGGTGGGTCCCCTGCCTGCCCCCTGCACCAAGTAGCTGCCATCCAATTGCTCCACGCAGCAGCATAACCAGGTAGGCAACTGGGGAATGCTCCCCAGACACTGCCTAACAGGTGTGCTGGAATGCAGCCAGAGGGGCACCAGAATGGGGAATGTGCTTAGCACCTGGCCACATCCTACATAGAAGTTGACAGCAACTGTAAATGCAGCAGCTGTCAGCCACACAAGGGACGGGGGAGTGAGGCTGAGAAAGGAGCTCCTGCCTCAGGTTTGCAAAGCCAGAGGTAACAGGCTCGCCCACCAGGCAAGCCAATGCTGAGAACAGCCCCTGGATGAGTCCATGGCCCTGCACGTAGGATTCTGCCTGGTCCCTCTGCCCCTATTCACCTGTGCTCAGCAAATCTCCCCCCTGCCAACCCACCCCAACTCCCCTCTGCCCAGGACATCAAAATAGCATGTTACACCTCTGGCTTACAGCTATGAAGCTGAATCTGCTTTTGCAGAGCACAATAATCCTTGTACTGAATCACTAACCTACCCACAAAACTACCAGGAACCTCTGCAAGTGTCCTAATAAAGCGTGAAAAGGATTTCCATCACCATCTCAACAGCACCCCTGTGAGGGAACTTGGAAAAAGACAAGACTTAATCAAGCATGGAAGAGTTCTAGTGTGATATATCAAGTGAAATCATGTCGAAGTGGTAATGACAGAGGAGGCATTATGCAAATGTATCAGAGCTTGGACTGACTCTTGACCATTTCCCTGCCCCACGGGGTTCTGAACAGCAGCCAGAAAACGGATCAGAGCACTGTCAGTTGTACTCAGCATTGGCTGTTGTTGCTGTACGGAAAAGTCATGGACAGCAGGAGGGACACTGGAACTGCACATCTGGAGCAGCAAGATGACATCCTGCCTTAGGGCTCGAGGTGGCTAATGCTATTTATGATGTATCATACTCGGACAGTGGCTCTCAACCTTTTTTGACTCCAGGCTCCCACATCTGACTTGAGCCACCCCGGAAAAATGCCCACTTTTGCTTTTCATTCATTTCACTCATTCCTCGACCTTAAGCACTGGTCTTTTATCATCTTATTAAGACACTTCCACTGGATGCAGTCAAGCTTCTCATTCCAGGTGCCAACAAACCCCCTGGGCTGTAAGAACTGGCCGAGGCATGGCTGGCTGTTCTGGTTTGCCACCTTTCTGCTCTGAGATTGGGGCGGTGGGCAAGATCTCCCTTTTGGGTTCCAAAGTGCTGAAATGGTCTGGCAGGGGCTTCTTGGGGGTCTCAAGGCAGCATGATCTTTTCTTTGATACCAGCACACCCTGCCTGAGAAGGATGTGGAGCCTGGCTGTATCGATGCAGTAGTTTACAGGGTCTCCACTGTTGATCTTCAAGGTATCCATAAACTTCATGGACTTGACTCTCTAGCCTCAGCATTTGCCAGACACAACCACCTCACAATCGTGGGCACCACTCCCCATAACAAAGTGGGGGACACCCTAGTAGGCTGGGCACACTGCTAAGCCTCCCAGAAGTTTGTAAGTTTGGTCTGCTTAGGCAATTGTGCACAGACCTCTCATGGCCACCTTCTCAGTGCAGAGCTCAACACTTCCCTCAGGAAAGCCAAACCTCTTCTGCACAACAGCTGTCAGTGGCCTTTTCTACCCTGGACAGTCTGAGCTCTGGTAGCCAGGAGGATCACTTCAGTCCTGGGTGAAGTAACCCTGACCTGGACAATAGAGCACCCATCCCTGGCCAGTTCACAAGTTCACGCAGTTTCTTTTCTCCTTCCACATCCGTCTGCACCTGCATGACAGAGGCCTTTTGGCTGCACCAAGGGGCACTGTGGGCCAAGGCCACTGGGATCCCAGTTCAGATCCATGCTTCTGCCTCTTGAGCAATCCTGTTAAAGTTGAATTGGAGTCTGCACTGTCAGCATCATCAGGATTGGTGATTGCTCTCCATCTTCAGAAATAGCAAAAGCTGGAAGCAAGGTACAGAAGTCAGGCTAAACAATCCTTGTCTTTACTCAGTTTCTTACAGTTATAGACACCCCTTTTCTGTTAGGATTTCTGTCCTTTATTCAGGTACAGAGGTACCCCTTTACTCATCCTTGCAGCTATTTCTGTCTCCGTTTCACCTGTTTTTGTTTCTGAGATGGAAGAGATCTGGCAAAGCTCATCATAACAGCCAAAATGCCTCCAGCCCCGGGACATGATGACACAGAGCAAATTCCATTGGCAACTGGTCCCTCCTCACCTTGCACTGATCTCCTGTCAGCTGCATGTCTTGGAGCAAAAACACAACAACAGCATTTTGTAAGTGGAGCTCACCCGCACAATGAAACCCTGTGAAATGTCCCAGCTCCCCTCCTGACCTTCAAGGGCTTGGGCTGGATTTTGTCACAGACTGTGTTCATCCTACTCCTGCCCCTCCTTCTGGCAGTGCTGAGGTGTAGGAGAAAGGTGTTCAGTCTTGGCTGTTAAACTTAGTCATACCTATAATTAACAAAATGATTAAAGACTCATTCATTCCACTTTACTTGGAACTGGCAGGTACAAAACACCCCCTGCTTTTGTTGGTTTGTTTCTATTTATATTCCTCATGCACTGTTGCACCAGCGCCTAGGCACTGCCAGGTCCAGAGCTGGTTATGGCACTGCTATCAGTATCATATGAAAACATGTGAGTTCATATTAACATGATGTCTTATACTCTCAGTAACAAGGGCTGGTGAGAGCACGAGAGATGATCCATTCAACTGGACAGATAGCCAGTCATTTTCATCTAAATCAAGCATTCAAAGTATTGTCTTGCCAGACAAATACTTATGTGACAGGAGAACAGTCCTCTCCAATGGGGAAAATGAAGGTACATTTACACAGAACAAGCAGGTTAGAGAGGCTGAGCCAAAGCCCCTCATTGCTGACACTCGCCATCCCAACTAATAGAGCTACCACTACATGGTTACAGAAGGATGTAGACATTATTTTCTGCAGAACTGGAGCATGGGAGATTGAGGTTGGATTTTGGAAAGAGCCTTCTAACTATGAGGGTAGTTAAGCATAGAGCAGGGATCTCCCTGACGGGGAGCTTTTAAGTGCAGGTCAGACATTTGGTCTGGATAATCCTGGCTTGAGCAGGATTTAGGCTGGATGGCCTAGGTGGAAAAAAGGAAGGGGAACTCCAGGCAGGACTAGAGCACAGAGAAGGTCACAGACAACCTCTCTCAGTAGGAGACATGATCCACAGCTGCTGGGCTGAGCAAGACAAACAGTGAAAACCTTTCAGTGAGATGCAAGGTGAGCAGGGCGACAAGATCTTGCACAAGTATGAATGGTCTTCACAGCCCATGCCAGACCCTGCTCGTCAGCCTGCTTTTTACAATTGCATCACTGCTCCAGGTGTTTGGCCTACCAGAAAGTGGGTTGCCAAACATTTCCCATTCTCCCAGTCCTCAGTATCCTCTTACTCACCACTTGTAGCTCAACCTTTTACTTCTTACTCAACTTCTGAGGGCGGGAAACTATTTTTAGGATCTGCCTTTGTATATATCAGGACCTCTAGCTCTCCCTCCTGGATTTCCTACATCAGAGAAGCACAGAAAGTAGCTGCAGGGAAAGGTGAGGAGGCACGGCTAGACTTTGCTCATCTTGGTATGATTTGTTGTTCATATTGATTTACCTGTCTTTGGGGAGGGGTGAGTTTGGGTGGATAAGAGAATCTTGCTTTAAAAACACCAGCAATATACCTGCAAAGCTGGAGAGAGGCTGGGTGTAGTAGGGCAAGAAGGCATTTGGTGACCCAGTCTCAGCTCTTTTCACTCCCTGTTGCGAGAGGTAACCATCGCTTTGGGGAAGTTCCTTTTGTGCTGTTCACATCAGGGACGTGACAAGGCAGGGAAAGGATTATAAGACACAGCTAGGGCATTTTCACTTCCCAAAAGTGTGACACTGAAATTCCTTTTGAGCATGTGACCTCTTGAATTCATACCAGGAAGAGTAGCAGCAGCACCCAGGGAGGGGGTGTAATGAGGCATGCTGCTGTGGCATGGGCAGGGAGATGGCACAAATCAGGAGCAGTGTGTATGTGAAGAGGATACATCCTGGCAGTCAGAGTTGCTATCTCATGACTGCTTTTCTACTAATTTTCAGGCCTTTTTATCTGCCTTGTGTGTGTTACAAAGCAAGACGGCTAGACCTGTTTTCTCCAGGACATTTCCTCAGAGGAGGCCCAGAGGATTAGCCTGCAGACATCATGCTTGAGGTGATGCAAATACGGACCTGGATTGAGCCAGTGGTTGCTGGTGCCCAGGTAGCCAGCTCCTTCTATGACACAGGACTGCTGCTGGTGGTGAAAAACTACTACAACCAGACCAACTCAACCGCCCCAGCACATTTACTCGAGGACAGACAGCAGAAAGCAGTCTCTAACTTCTACATCATCTACAACTTGGTCCTGGGCCTAAGCCCCTTGGTGTCAGCTTATGGCTTGGCGAAGCTCGGGGACAGAAAGAACAGGAAGATCACCATCTGCTTGCCTCTCCTGGGCTACCTGGTCTCTAGGGCCCTTCTGCTCCTTTTGATCCTGCTTGAGTGGCCAATTGAGGTGATGTACGGAGCTGCTGCCTTAAATGGCCTGACCGGAGGCTTCACTACTTACTGGGCGGGTGTCATGGCTCTAGGGTCACTAGGCTCCTCAGAGAGCAGGAGGTCTCTGCGGCTTATCATTATCGAGTTGATCTATGGGATGGCAGGCTTCTTGGGAAGCATTGCATCTGGGCACATCTTTGTCCATTTCAACCTCAGCTACCGCCAGGGCACCGTGCTTGTGGCTTGCAGCATTGCCTGCTATGCCTTCTGCCTCACCTACAGCCTCTTTGTCCTTAGAGTCCCCAATGTGGAAGGTGCCCAGCCAGGTTTGACAGATAACAGCAAAGCCAAGGATGTAAATCAGCTTGACAGCCCACTGCCACCTGATGAAAGGACTGTAGGGAATTGGGGCTCCTGTGAGAAGGAAGGCCACACACCTGTGATGCCCTCAAAACTCATCATCGCCATGCTCTTTGTGGGGGCTGTCATGTATGACTTAGCGGTTGCGGGAGGCATAGATGTGCTCCAGCTTTTTGTACTCAAGCAGCCTTTAAGTTGGAATGGGATTCAGGTTGGCTACGGCAATGCTGCTGGCTACATGATCTTCCTCACCAGCTTCTTGGGAGTGTTTTTGTTCTCCAAGTACTTAAGGGACACTACCATGATCACGATCGGCATACTGTCTTTCAGTACTGGCAGTCTCATCATGGCCTTTGTGCGAAGGACTTTCCAGTTCTACATCGGTGAGTTAAACTGCTCTCTGTAACTGGCTGCAGCCATGGGATATGAACGCTGATGATTTAATATGCCATATGTTGCCAGACAGGCTGAGAAAGGCAGTGGTTGAGGGGGTGGGGGAGGAGGATTTTTAACTGGTCTGCTTCCTTGTAGGATGAGGCACAGGGTTGTTTATTCCACTGAAAACCTCAGAGCAGGAAATGCTGGGCATTTGGGGGTGAAATTCAAACTTGCTTCCAAAAGAAATCTTCCAGCCTGAGTAAATTATTCACCCACACAATCTTTCCTAAGGATTTAACCATCAGGGAGCCAAAACTATGCTCAGTGTGAGAAATTGCATCCTCTTCTTCTGCCTCTCCCTTTCTACACGCACAGTATTTTCACAGCCATCTTTGCTCTCATGAACAAGGGGGTTCACACCTCTAGCAGGTGGCCAAAGGAGTGACCAAAGCAGACCTATGACCCCTTTCTCAGATGAAGGCAGGCCTGTGATCCTAAGCTGCAATTCTCAAGCCCTCAGCTAACATTTAGCACAGGTGTAGCTCCTCACATCTAAGTGTTTGGTTCAGGTCCCTCTTTCCCCGGTCTCGTTGTTGGATTAACATTGTTAAACCCCATGTTCCAAGTCTGAGGAGGGGTTAGAGCATTTTAGCTATCCATTTTTTAAAACATCTTGTGTTTGTTTTAAGCACTAACTCATGCTCATAACTTTTAAATAGACTCTGTCCCACTTAAATATGTAATTAGTGCACAGTGTGTAAGAGTTAAAATCCTTCGCAACTGTGAACGTAAGCCAAACAACTTAACTGAGAAACTATGTGAACTATTGCTTTGCATAAGAGCTAGCCTTAGGCAATGATGATGAAAAGTTTGCTTACTCTGACAAAGATGAAATAGAGGCATCTAGTGTCTTGTGTTCGTAGAGCTAGATTCTTTAGGGGCAGAGAAAGGGGGAAGATGGAACACCGATTAGACATATGGCTAATAGAGAAATGTAGACATTTGAGATCTTGTCACATTTTAAAATACCAGCATTTTATCCCCCAAAATATTACACTGAAATTAAATGGACAGGGGGTAGACATGGCAATAGCCAGACCCCAAAACAGACAGGAACTAACTTGAAATCACGAGAAAACAGTCAGACAGGGATCCATGCAGTCCATCTAGTCCAAAGCCTGCTCAAGTCAGAATCAATACAACGAAGTCTGACATGTACTTAAAAGTTTCCAGGTCAGAGAGATTTCACAGCCTTTCTATGGAACCTGCTCTAGTGCTTAACTACCTTTTTAGGAAGAACCTTCTAACTATGAATCCAAACTAAATCTCTCACTCCAATTTTGCAGGAAAAAAAGACTATATCCTTGTGTAACCATGTAGTGAAACCTTATTTTATGAAGAAACAAAGGCCATGACAGGCAGCCCACACATTTCTTTGTTAGAGTATTCACACAACCATAGTATTGAGGGACAGTATGCTCAGCATGTCTTTTGTATCAATGCAAAATAATATGGAAAGACCACTGGAAGCCATTCCTTATGAAAAGAGGCCGGAGTATTAGATGTGAAGCTGAAAAACCAAAAGGTCAAGTGAGCCTTCTAGGTGGCTTTATTTATTCCACACATAAAGTGAAATCCACTTTGGGGATGAGGCTTTCAGAAGGGAAGACGACCAAAAGCACAAGTGCAGTTGGTTTAACTAGATTCCATCACTGACCTATGGTGCTGCTTGGATTGTAAGATGCTAATTACTTGTAGGGTGATAGCACCCAAGAACCCTAGGCCTGGACTATTACCCACACACGTTAGTGCTACACACAAGAGAAAAAGAATTCTTGCTCCTAAGGCCTTACAACTGGTTTGTCCTTCTACCAAAACGACAAACAAATGCCAGAGGCATCTCTCCAGTAAAGAAACTGAATAGAAAAAGCGATCTGGTGGTTCTAGTCCACTCAACTCGGTGGAACCATGCTCCACTGCAATGAGCGTTCACATTGTTGCTCAACTTTGCAGAGTAACTCTTTTAGCTGCCAACTGGAGCAGGCTTCTTCTTCCCACTGGACAACTGCTGGAATGGGACAAAAAAACCACACTGCATATTTTAAAATATCATAGGAACAAGTGAGCCAAATAAAACTTATGTAACAGAACCATACTGTACACTTTACTATATGAACTGCAGTAAATTGCTGTTGCTTGTGAACTCTATGAGCTGCCTGCTCTACAGGGGTAGAGCATTAGGGAGCAGGCTCTTTTAACAGGAAATAAGTCTTCCCTTTTATTGTTACAGCTCGGGCAGTGATGTTGTTTGCACTTGTCCCTCTACCAACCATCAGATCGGTGTTGTCCAAACACGTAGAAGGATCATCCTACAGTGAGTATACTGATTTCAGTGTTGGCTGGAAGCAAGGGGGGGTGTCTGTCAATTAGCACATTGTTCAAAAGCAAGTTAATGTGGTAATTGCTGCCAACTGCAGGCTGTATAATAAAATCATAGCAGTCAGAACCCAGGAAAGCCATCTGCAAAATTAAGTAAGTCGTTTTGTTCAGGACACCCTGCACAGACTTCTTCAGTTGCTTATCCACTTAAGACATCTCAAACAGTGCTTTCCCCACATGCTCTAGGAGATCACTGAACCGATGCATCCAGCTCAGAGAAGGGGAAGGAAATATTTAGGCAGTTCCATCACTGAACAAATTTGATGCTATAGGATGAACAGGGGGTAGAGTGGATCATCTCTGTCACCCTGTTCCCCTCCTGTTAGTGTCTTTTAGACCCCAGTGTTCAGCCACCACAGCCAGAAGGTTTATTATGACAGTTACGAGTATTATGCCATTTTAGTCTCGTTTTTACATATGTACTTTTTAGTTACCTTCCTGAAGAAAATTAGTGGGTTGTAGACATTCACACATGTAGCTTTGCCACCAAGTACAATGTCTAGCAAAAGTGATGCTTGTATTAAGCTCCATCTGGAAGGAATTTAGTAATTAAAGGTAAAAAGGTATGCATTTGAAGTTATCAATTAAAGCTACTCTAATTAACATGTAAATAACTCAAAACAAAGATATTTTTCATATAAAGCAGATGAACAAAAATGGCTCTTCCTTGATATAATAAAGTGAACCAGCCATTCCTGGATACTGTCTGTGTTCATCAGCATGTCAGATTTCAGTCATCCTTTTCTTACTTTTTCTTTTGAACTCCCACTTGGCTTCTCCACTTTGAATGAGTTAGTCATTCAACTGACTTTTTAATCAAACCTTTCCATTTGCACCTGATCCTAAGTTGTGGAGTTGTACTGTGCTGGGTTTTTGGTTTGACTCATTATCTAGCAGCTAAATTCAGACCCTGGGAGTATTTGCTATTGAAGTCTTATTTTAAGCCCCACCTCTGCTTATGAAACTAAATTTGTGTTCATGACAACAGCTCACTGTGAGCAGCATAATGACCTCTATGGAGGATTAAGAACTGGTTGGGGAGAAACTAGACTCTTGCTACATACAAAACAGCCCTTACTTAAGCAACCATTTTGCAGTTCTTCCACCTCCAAAGAACCAGCTGTAGTGTAGGACTGAAGCTATGGACAACCTTATGATTGATATACTAATAACCATTTGTATCTATAGCAAGTGCTATGGTGTAGCTGTTGCATTAGTTTGCTTATATTGCTATGGAAGAATACGAAGTCTCCTATAGGGACAAGTTACGTCCCAACAGCTCCTGTCAGCATCATTTGAAATTGATGCAGTTATTGAATCTGCCCATATTTAAAGCATCATTTAAGACAGGGCAGTTCCCAAGTGAGGATGGCTGCTTGCACAGTTTCCATGCCATCCAAAAGACTTTTCAGTAACTTTAGTAAGTCTTAGAAAATGGCCACATCAGTAACAGGGGTCTTCAGTCCACAGATGCTCTTTCAGTGAGTTCATATACACTTTGGCTGGTAGCAGTGACTTATCTGTTTGTTTACAGCAAAGGCATTTGTCCTGCTGCAGCTGGCATTAGTGATCACTGGAGTGGTGACATCCACACTCTACAACAAAATATATCAATGGACACTGGACTGGTACAGCAGCTTCTGTTTCATTTTGTCTTGCATCATCGGTTGCCTAAGTATCATCCCCATCAGGTAAGGAGTAGGAAGGTTTCAATTTGGAGGGATTTCCCCTTAAGGTGCCTTGCTTTAAAAAGGTGGGGGAATGCAAAGGGGTGGAAATAGGGCATGCATCCTTCTGCCTGTGAAGAAATGAATAGAGCTTTTAAGGGGATTTTGTTTGTTTGTTTTGAAGGGATCATTGCAGGGCAAAGGTAAATCAGAATTTTTACAGTAGCTAGACAGTCACCAAATGGAATGCAAGAGAGGCATGGCCATAAGTGACAGTTTTCATGCAATCTGGCCCCAGAAAGCAGTCTACAGCTGTGACCAAACAGAAGGGCATGGCTGCAGACTGCTTTAAAAGGGCCCAGTCCTGTGAACATCCAAACCTTCATTGCATGAGAGTTCAGACAAACATGCTCCAACACTGAGCGCATTCTGTAACTTGTGCCGGGAGCCCCAAGAACAAGCTCCCTCTGCTTCCTTTCCTTTCCCATCCTGCGTACCATGCCGGGGCTGGGCAGGGGGAGTGGCATTGCTGCAGGCTTGAAGCTGGAATCCCCAACTCCCAGACCAAACAGCAAGCTTCTGTTAAGCTCAGGGGAATTGCTGCAAATCATAATACTTCCTGCAAAGTGCTATGAGTTGCAATGGGGAGCTGCTCCTCTGTCTCTGTACCCAAGAAGAAGAGTTGAGAGAATGGATGCATACAGGAAGGATGCTCCAGCAACATTTTTTAAAATGGTCACTAAAAACTGTTAAACCTGTATTTGGAGAGAGCCTTGTTTTAAGTGAAGGAAGGGAAAGGATTTAAGCAAATATAAAATGATGATATTGCCTCAGACAGCAATCCTAGAAGAGCCAGATTTGCTGTTTCTGAGGTAACTAGGAAGTAAGGGGAGAGAAATTTCAAGTCACCTTTACACGAGAGAGAGAGAGAGAGAGAGAGAGAGAGAGAG